TCGTGAACTCTTGCAAATTTCAAGCTCCAAGATCACGCATGGGGAAGAAGTCTCAGGCGAAACGACCGTCCCGCCCTTTCGGCTGGCCTCGGGGCGCAACAGGGAGGAATCATTCACAAGGAACCAAGGAGAGAGAGGAAGACCAACAGCGTTAGTGCCTGTCAGAATACGAGGGCGGAGCAGGGAAGAGAAGGATAATAATTACACCTGGGAAACCCCAATTAGTGGATGCTTTGAAAATTATCAATATGGATCTTGAGATCGATCGTGAGATCGATAATGCGATCGATAGTGGAATCGATCGTGAGGACGATTGTAAGGTCGATCGTGAGACCGAGCGTGGAATTGATTCAATGAGATCGATAGTGAGGTCGATCGCGAGATCGCTCATGCAATCTCTACTGAGATCGCTTGTGAGATCGATAATGAGATCGGGTTTGAGATCGATGGTGAGATCGATAGAGAAATGGGTAATGAGATCGATTGTGAGACCGGTCAATTTAAGAAGATCGATCAAGAACCCGGGAACCTCGCCGCCCTCCGAAATTGGCCCGGAACCCGGAACCGGGACCTCGGGAACTCGGAAACCCGGAATCGGGAACCCGGGAACCCAGCGTGCGACCAAAATCGGCGGGAAACTTTCGCCAAATTTTTCAACCTCCGCGAGGACCCCTTCAGTGCAAGCACTGATTGGGGAATAAGGAAGTACGAAAAATGTGGAGGATGAGAAGGATACTGAGTAGTACCTGCGCAGTGGAAGCTGGGACGGAGGAGGAGAATCAACAGCGTTAGGCGTGAAGGAAGAGGAAGTGGAGAACGAGGAGGAGGGCATAAGTTTTTTTTTCTTGCAACTTTGACTGTTTTTGAAATCTCATGGGGCCCCGAGGACCCTCTAAGGATTGCGGGACCCCTGGAGACCCCAGAGGAACCTCTGGAAAGATCCCATCCCCGAGGCCAACTCTCCTTCCAGGAAGTGGGTACATCAGCCGCTTGACGGCCCTGGCCCCCGCCCTCGAGGAGGATATTGGATGCTGGACTGGCCTGCCACTGGAGATGAGATGCGGGTCCAGAACCCGAGGCGGAGGAGGAAACAGTGCGGACGAGGAGGCGGAGGCGGAGGAGGAGGGCACAATTGGCGGAGAGTGCGGGGTGACTGGCGCTGTCTTCCTCTCCTGGACGCAGTTCGGCGAGACGGTCCGAGTCTGGGGCTGTGAGCGCCGATCTGCCCGAGCTTGAACGTCAGTGGCAGCGGCAGACAGTAGGAAATGCACGCACATGCTCTGGGAGAAAGGGAAGGGGACGAACTTATCTGAATAACTTCTTCGACGCGAGAGGGGAGGGGGGAAGAGGAGGAGGAGGAGGAGGAGGAGTGCCCCAAATTCGGGGTGGGAGGCCAAAAGCCTGACCACACATCGCTAGGGGATCCCACCTACCTCCATCCGGCTCCTACCTCAACGGGTCGCCCACGAGAGTGCGGCAGCGGCAACACGGGTGGCAGAGGCCGAGAGAGCGGCCTCGTCCTCGAGGCTGTAGACCTTGGAAGGGAAGCCCACGGCGTCCGCGAGCATCTGAACGTACTTGGCCTCCGTGCGGCGGGTGACGTGCAGGGTCCACCAGACCTGCGCGGTATCCGAGATCGCCGCAAAAGAGGACCGACACGTATCTGCTGAAACTGTCGAATACGGGGGGAATGAAGCTGAGAAGCTCTTGAAGCTGACATCCGGGTCCGACCCGGACTCGTCACCATAAGTACGACCTGAGATCGCGCACACAGCCAGACCGCAGAATACAGAGATCACTCGCGTGATTCTCACTCCCAGGTCTGTAGACCCAGAACACGGATAGGGGGCTGACCTTGAAAATCGGGGCGTGCTGCCGCCAGAACGCTGGAAGTCATCGACGTATACCTCACTGCCATTGATGTAATGATACTGGCCGCTGAGCGGGGGCCGGAACTGGATGGAGACGGGAAGGTCGGGGGAGACGTAGGTGACAATCTAGAACTGCCTGCCAACGTAGGACTACTTATGTACTTCATGGAACTCCGCCATGAACGTTGTTGAGACCCACTGGCTTGAAGTCGCTCACTCGGATACTTAGGATGGAACGCGGCTTGACGTCGCCCAGGCCCAGAAGGAAGGTCAGCAGCACGGGGCGCCCGCTGCTGGGAGTGTCTCGGGATGGACTTCCCGACGACAACTGATGCGCTCATCGACCTGGCCCTCTCCTTCGCCTCGCTGCCCTTGGAGATGCACTCGGCGAGTCGCGGTGTTCCCCTGTGACTGATCCTGGGGAATCATCGCTTTGCCGACGAGGCTCTGGGGCCCGTCCTTCGCCACATTCGACAATGGACCGGAATAACCAGAGTCGTAATCGCAACGCTCCCAGGCGGCATGCCCGGCGCGAATCCACATCGGCCAGAAAGTGGTGGGGTGGCAACCGACTGGGGGCCAAAACTCTGGCCGCAAATCTTCAGCATGTGCTCCTGGAAACTGGACTT